GATCATTTACCAGAGGTAATTTACCTCCTGAACAAAATAGTATCATAAGCAGTTTAAGCCAGGCTCCTATGCAAGAACCACATAAGACTATTGGGGAATTGCTTGGTAGTAAGAACATGATGGAAGCAGTGACACAGCAGGGGCTGCTGAAGAAAGCAGTACAAAGCTCCCATGAGGCCCTGGTGCCCAGAACTTGGTCCTGTTCTAGGATGGACTAGAAAGGCCTTCAAAGAGCAAACATCCTGTCTTGATTATGAAGCCTACTCCTGTGCCTCATCTCTTCACACTGTGTCATCTAGGATGTACCTTCTGGCTTTTGGCCAAACATTTTTATTCATGGCTTGTACAAGCACACGTACAGACTCTTATCCATTAATAGCTGCACAAAGCTCTTCCATCTTGCCAGGTGGTAATGACTTTCCCTAACTGTGAACAGGTATTTAGGAACATTTTTATTACATAACACAATATCAATTTTGCAGTTGCACATGTTAAATTTTGAAGTGCAAAAAGGACAGGCAAGTAAACATACAAGTAAGTATCACATAGAAGGTGTGTGATGTACTAAAGAAACACAGATGAGCTATAGAGAGAATCCAGCCAACATGTTAAGGTTCTTTTGAAATTACTAGGTATCTTTAAATATTGGCTTGCCCTAATGCAAATGCAGTTAAAGTAATGACAAAAATTCTTAAATAATCATTTCCTGGCAAAAATACTATGCTTATGTATCCTCAAAACTATCTGCATGTATGAAACCTATGGCCTTTGAAAACCTCCTGCAGCTGACCTTGGCCAAAGAAATGGAAAACTAGGACAAAAATTGACACAAAGGTAATTCAAAATAAACACACAAAAAGTTCTCCACAAATTTCATGCTTTTTGAAATCATTACCCTATGCTGTTTTAAATGACACACATTTCCAAAAACATAATTTGAAACACACATCAAAGCCTGATGGATGCTGAAAACTATTGAGAATTAGCTTAGATACAGCCTTACAAAGTAACTGTTATGGCCACAATCTGCAAGACTTCTGATACTAAATATTTGCTAAGAACCTACATCTGTTTCTGGTGCTTATAATCTGTATAGATTAAGAAAACTCTAGTACTTAAAATAGCTTACAAAAATGTTTACTGCACCTGTACAACACCAGTCTGATACATTTTCTAGAGTAAATGTTCAAACAATGATAATATAGTTAAAACAGAACTGATACTCTTCCCTTGCAACTCCTTTTTTTATCAAATTCCTGTCCTCAGGTGCATAACCCAGAAGTTGAGGTATAATACAAATACAGGAGTTACATTTCCAAGATTGCAGGCCATATGATGACATGACCTACAATTATTTCCATTTTTCCTATGCCATACCAGCAAAACTACTTTTTTAGCCATATACCTGAAAGATTCTTTCTCCCATATCACTTTGTATTTACAGTAAGGCAACTTCATTATCTTTTTGTAGCTTTCCTAAGTGCAATCTCACCACCTTTCAAATTAATTTGAAAGCTGATACTGCAAAAACATTTTCCTTTCTCATTGCTTTGATTGTAGTTCTTTGTGTTCTTCCCTCTTCCTGATGGACACAATGAACCTACTTGCTCTCAGTTTCAGGTCTCTACGTGGACTGTTCTAGTTCCACCTCTTGAATTTGACCTGCTGTTCTACACAGATATCCAGTCATCACAACGCAAGGAGCAAAATGGAAGTATTTGTCCAGCAGTTTAGGCAAGAAACAAGCTATCTATGAAAATCCTCAGGGTCAGAAGTGCTATCCTCCTTTAAACATATCCTCCAAATCTGATGTCTATGAATCATTCACAGATGCTGAGATAGCCAGGGTACTTGAACTTCTGCACGTCCTTTTGCTCACAGCATTCTCACAGCTTCTTGTGCTTTCCCAATACATTTCTTACATTTACATGCTGCCTTATCTTCACATTTAAATTAAGAAACTCTTTGTGCAGAAGCAATCTTTGCTTATGCATTTGTACTGCATGTACTATAATGGTGCCCTGGCCTCTAGGCACAATTACAATATAAATAATAAAAATGAACTGTTCACCTAAGATAAAGTCTCCTGACAAGGCTATTCATGAAGCTGTATCTTTCAAGCAATGATAAAAAGCTATTGTAGCATCATGCTCCACTATCAGTAACTCTCCAGGTGCTGACGCCACAAAGAAACTGATTCCTGGTTCATCACCTACAGGAAACCTGAACTGTTCCCTATACTGTGCCCACATGACCGCTGGAATTTTTACCGACAACCAGGTAAAACACTGGGTGACAGAAACCTGCACAGAGCTGTCCTCCTGAAGAGCCCTCTGCTCCCTTAACATAAGCCAACTTCTGGAAAGAGTTGAGAATCCTAGGAGCCTCACAGCTTCAAGGCAGTTTTCCATCTGTCTGATTAAAACTCATAAAATTTGCTTAAAAACATGGCCTACAAGAAGGTAAAACACCAACCTACACAGCATTCTCCAATATGGTACTGTTCTTTAATGGAGGCATCCATAGCTGAGGAATTATTCTATTTTGGCTTTACTGGTTTAATGCACAGCTCTTCTTTTTATCATTACTTAGATTGCACTTAGACTGAACATTCAGTGGAACATTTCCTATAATGGGATAAAGCAGTTGAACAATTTGACTGGCTAATAGCGATTTACACATGTGATTACAGTACAGAAAATGGTCTGACATATGCTCTTTTATCTGGTTTACATGAGACATATTAATCCAACTGGAAAGCACAGAAGTGAAAAGGAAGATAGGACCAAACATCCATGTGAAAAAAAACAAACACACACACACACAAAAAACCAAACAAAAAACAACACCACAACAAAACCAAAACAAAACCAAAACAATCAGAAAATATTTTTACTTATTTTATTTCTGCATTTGCTTAGTTAATTGTGATCAGTATTTTCTAAATAGCAAGATTTACAAAATAAATCAGTTTTCTCCCCAAAATGGATGCAACTAAAAAAGACCAGTCTAGAGATACTCTGCAGAAGTTAGAAAAATCACTGTTTTTAATGACAACTTGGTTCAAAAAGCATTTGTGGCTTATGTCATAAGGCCTTTTCCAACATCACAGGTTTTCCATAAACAGAGAGGACACCAGCCATGCTTAGCACCAAATCACACAGAAACAATTGTATTGTGAAGAAAAGGAGTATTGATTAATTTAATATCTTCTTTTTTTTTCTCAGCTAATTTCATTTCTGGCTCTTACAAAAATGCTTATACTGATGTCAGCACAAGTACATATTTTTACAGGAAAATTTCATTTCCTCCTAAAACCAGCTGACAATGGCCCCATGACACTAAAGACCTGACTGATATAAAGGAATTACCTCTTTAACACCCACCTTTCATCAAGAACATGTACACAACCTCAGACTGGCCTACAAGACACACCAATGTTCACAAATAACACTATTGTGCTTTTTTTCTTTTTGCAGATTGGTACATTTCAGTTGGATTTGCATTTTCTCTTCTAAAATCAAATATTCAAAGCTTTCCTATGTAAGGTTTGGATTCTACATGCACAAATAAAACCAAAGCATGCAAAACTAAGAGTAAAGCAGACCAACCAAGAACTTTACTACGTGTCTGTTTGCCAACCACTTTTATCCATCGCTATATGAGAACTTGTATGAAGCAAATACACCAGATAATGAAAAGAGGGAGCTGCAAACAATGTGTCTCCAACAAAACCAGGGTGTGAGTGTTAAAATATTTGAAGGGAAACTTTAATCATCAACAACAACAACAACAAAAAATCCATATATCCCAAACTAACGACACAGTTCTGTCCTGGGATATTTCTGTACCGTGTATTTGCAAGAAGGAATTATAACAGAGGAAGGCAGAAGCTTTGACTGCCTTTAGGACCAGCCCAGCAGAATCTCCTGCTGGTGCTCTGCACTTCCACCGTGACACAATGGTGAGAGTGGAGGACCTTAAGGGTCTTTTCCAGCCTGAAGGACCCTGATTCAGAAACCGACGGTGAGACCCGAGGCAGGCATCAGGCGCAGCTCCCTGCTTCAAGGGGTGTCAAAACTGAAAGCGTTCCCACACAACAAAGGGAAACAAACTCCGAACCCCCACCCCCCCC